CAACGATGTTGGAATTAGCCCTCCCTCCAAACTCCCTCTTCATAGGCCCTACAACGGCCCATTTCCATGGAGGGAACTGCCCCGTTGAATGACAACCGTTTGAAGACCTTGAAGCATGCCAAAACATTGTTCTCGGGATTTCCACGCCACGGATCAACCTGGCTGCTGCGTCCTGGCGATCTGGAATTGTGCCAGAACGCCATTTCTGGGACTTCAACACCGCGAATCAACATAACTGTTGCAACAACATAATCCAGAACCCTTCCAAAACACCACTTCTGGTACGTTGATCATGGGAATCCGTGGAACCCTTGCAAATGTTTCCAACGAGTGTGCGCGGTGTGAAAACGAGAGCCACATCTTGAAAAGGACCCGCCCTCAATCCGTGAAGCTCTTGCGAACTCTTAAAGCAAGTGTGCGCGGCGCTGGGGCGAGAACCACATTATGAAAACCACCCGCTTTCAATCCGTGAATTTCTTATAAGTTTCTAGAGCGAATGCGCGCGGCGCTGAAGCGAGAACCACATTCAAAAACGGCCCGCCCTCAATATGTGAAACTCTTTCGTATTTGTGCAACGAATGTGCGCGGCGCTACGGCGAGAGCCACATTTTGAAAACCACCCGCCCTCAATCCGTGAAGCTCTTGTATTTTTTTGCAACAAATGTGCGCGGCGCTAAAGCGAGAACCACATCTTGAAAGCGACCCGCCCTCAATCCGTGAAGCTCTTGCATATTTTTTGATACGAATGTGCGCAGCGCTAAGGCGAGAGCCGCATTTTGAGAACCACCCGCCGTCCATCTGTGATTTTTTGTGTATATGTACGAAAAAAACTTCCGAACAATACATGGCGAGGAAGTATCAGGCGAAACGCACAGCCCGCCGTAGACATTTGCCTCGGGGTGCGACAGGGCGAACTTATTCATAATGAAAAGGCATGGATGGAAAAGGAAAAGGAGGAGGAGGAGGAGGAGGAGGAGGAGGAGGCGGAGGAGGAGGAGAAGGAGGAAGAGGAGGAGAACACCAGAAGGACGAGAAATCTGCCCGGCATCCTGGACCCCCTGAGGCGGCACAGTAGGCCTTCAATGTCGCCTTCGTGAATTCTGAAAAATTCTGCTTGGTGCTTGAGCGCTTCTGAAATTTGCTGCTCTGGGGGCCCTGGCGGAGGACCGCGGAGGCCTTCGGGGGCCTCTGGGGTCCGCCCAGGCCTTCGGCGGCCGCGTGGCGGCACGTTCTCCTCGCTTTCGGCCCTTGGGCTTGTCTCAAGTCCTGGGACCATGAGAGGACGACCCAGAACGGAACAGCTCTCCCCCCAAGCCATGGCCCTCGACACCGCGACGTCGGGCGCCTGGGCTCCCGCCTGCTGCTGCCGCTCCTCCTCCTCTGCGCTCCGCTGGGCGTCGTCCTTGCTGCGCCCGTGCTGAGCGTGGAGGGGCCCTCCTCGAAAGGCGACCTCGATCGGCTGCCCCGCGCCTCCAGCGGGCGCCCGCTTGCTGGCGGCGCTCGCTCTCGGGCAGCTGCCTCTGCTCCTCTCTTCCTCGCGCCCAGCAGCTGCGCCCCTCGGGGGCTCCATTTGCACAACCTCGCCTGCCTGGTCTCTCCTCACGCCCGCCCCGCGGCTCCTGTTGGGCCCACTCGTGCGGACAAGCTTCGACGCGCACCACCTGCAACAAGGCACGGCGCGCCAGCGGTCCGCCATTGGAGCCCTGGCGCGGCAGCGGAGGAGACGAGCACCGCAGTGGCTCGCCCCCCAGAAGGACGGCAATCCGCTGCCGCCAGTCGCGGAGCGGTGGCCGTGCCCAGCTAGAAGAAGACAAAACCATAAAAACATAAACTTTTGACGCTCCACGTGGATTTCTTGGATTCGCGCTGGGCCCCCTCCCTGGCGCGCGGAACGCGCCAGGGGCGGCGCCGGAGACGCCGCAGGGGGGCCCAGGCGCGGATCCAAGAAATCCGCTCGGAGCGCCACGAGTTCATGTTCATGTTCATGTTGTTGTTGTTGTTGTCGTCGTCGTTGTTGTTGTTGTTGTTGTTGTTCTTCTTCTTCTTCTTCTTCTTCTTCTTCGATGGCCGTGCACGGCGCGTGCCACTGCTGCTGCTGCGCCCCCCCCCTGCGCCGCGCGGACCGCTTCGGCGGAGAGGCGGCCGCCTTCGGCGCCCGCGCGCCGCTGCCCCGGAGCAGGGCGCCCGACGCCTGCCCAGGAAGGCTGCCTTGTGCTGCTGCCCGCGCCCCCGTGCTGGGGCGAGGAGGTCTGCGACGTGGGCCCGATGCCGCCCCCCCCTCCCCTCCCGTTCCTGCTGCCGACTGCGGCTCCTCCTCCACGCCCCTCGCCTCTGCTCATCGGCTATCCTCCTCCTCCTCCTCCTCCTCCTCCTCCTCCTTCTCCTCGTCTTTCTCCTCCTCCTCGTCTTTCTCCTCCTCCTCCTCCTCCTCCTCCTGCTCCTCCTGCTCCTCCTGCTCCTCCTGCTCCTCCTGCTCTTGCTCCTGCTCCTGACACGCCCCTGGCGGACACGAACCCTCCCTGCTGCACCTTGCTCAGCAATGGCGAGCGCGCGGCCGTATGCCACTCTGGCCCCGGCAGCGGTCGGCGTGCAGCCGGGCGCCGACAGATCGAAACAACGGCGCTCGCAGAGGGTGCTGCTGCTCCTGCTACTCCTTCTCCTCGCGCTCGATTCCACGGCGTCCTCTCTGCGCCTCGGCTGGGCTCAAGCCGCCTCTCGGTCGAAGACCTCGCGCCTCTGGGAGGCGCCCTCCTCCCCCTGTGGCTGCTGCGGCTCCTCCACCTGCTCTTCCTCCTCCCGCTGTGGCTCCTCCTGCTGCTTCTCCCGCGCCTGATTTGTCTGCCGCTCTCGCATCAGTGGCCTATGGGGGGCGCCCCGTGGCTGGCGCACTGTGATGGCCCAGGCTGTTGCGATTTCTGGTCTTCGCCACGGTGCCCCCTGGGGGTGCCCGTTGTCTGGTGCCCTATGGTGGTCCAGTCTGTTGCGATTGCTGGTTCAGGCCCAAGTGCCCCGTGGGGGGGCGCGCTGTGACTGGAGCCCCATGACGGCTCAATGTGATGTGATTACCCATTCTCGCACTGGTGCCCTATTGGGGGCGTGCCCCATGGCTGGTACCCTATGATGGCCCAATCGTTTTTTTTGTTTTTGTTTTTGTTTTCTGGTTCTCTATTGGGTGCCCCTGTGGCTGGTCCCCTATAATGGCGCAGTCTGTTACCATTTCTGATTCTCGCCCTGGTTTCCTCTGGGGGGTGCCCCATGGCTGCCGCCGGCCTATGATGGCCCAGTGACTTGTGGTTTTTGGTTCTCGCCTTTGTGGGGTTGCTGCGCGATCGCTGCGATGCCGCCCTGTGAGGGCCCATTCGCTGTGATGTCCAGCTGCGGTGCTGTGGGTGGTGCTCCATATCGGAGGGGGCGCGATGCGCCTCCGAAAAGCAAAGGCGTGCGCAGCCCTTCGCCGGTGGGCGCGAAGGTGCTGCGCCACACGGACTGCACATCGAGAAGGCAGGACAAAAAGCTCTCTGGGACGCAAGGCCCGTAACGACACGCGCTGCCGCGCAGGGGAAGGGGGTGAGCGCACGCGAGACGGACAGAAGGATTGCAAAAAAACCCAGGATTGCAATCCTTCGTTTTTTGCAATCCTTTTTTTTTTTTTTTTTTTTTTTTTTTTTTTTTTTGTTTTGCAATCCTTCGGGTTATTTTTGCAATACTTCGGTTTTTTTTGCAATCCTGGTTTGTTTTGCAATCCTGTTTTTTTTGCAATCCTTCGTTCAAGAGGGGCGAGGCAGCAAGCCAAATCCCCTCCCAGCCACCTGAGCCGAATCCCCTCCCAGCCTTGCCCCCTGAGAGGCCGGGGCGCGCGCGGAGACCCGGAGCCGCGGAGCCCAGGAGGAGGAGGAGGAGGAGGAGGCGGAGGAGGAGGGAGGGGGGAGGGAGGGGGGAGGAGGAGGGAGGGGGGAGGAGGAGACGAGGAGGGAGGACGCGGGGAAGGAAGGCATCTGCGTCCCCCAAACTCGCGCCTCGCGCTCCGCGGCACGCGGTACGCACGCTTCCTGTCCGCGCTCCTCGGGCCTCTCCCTCCCTCTTGGGAGCGGGGGCAGCCGCTGTGGCCCGGGCATAGCGACGCGCGCGAAGCGCTGGTGCTCTGGGGCACACAGGGAGGGAAGGACTCTCGGGAAGCCGCCCCGCTTTCCCGCTCTCCCGCTTTCCCGCTCCATCCACCCACGTCGCCCTTCCCCTGCCCACGTCCTCCTTCGACGTCGACAGCCACCACGGCGCCGAGGACGACGACCTCGACGACGACGACATGGCAACCACGACCACCCCGACGATGACGCCGACGGCGCCGACGGCGACGATGACCTCGACGACAACCGCAACCACGACCACCCTGACGACGACAACGACGACGACGACGACGGCGACGACAAAGACGACGACAACGACGACGATAACGCCCATGTCGACAACCGCGACCACGATGGCGACCACTACCCCGGCGGCGGCGACACGACCGACGGCGACCGCGACGCCGATGACAAACGCACGACTCCGACGACCCAGGCAGCCGACGCCGTGCCTTTTCTCACAGCGTGGCTCCCCAGAAGCCTGGGCCCCTTCCCCGGAAGCGAGGGCTCTCGCCCCGCGTCGCTCTCCGACGGCCCCCCGCGGCCCGGCGAGGGTACACCCCCGGGCCGACAAAAACGAGCGCCGCCCTCCGCCGTGACTCCTCCACAGCGAGAGGCGTCCTCCTCCTCCTCCTCCTCCTCCTCCGCCTCCGCCTCCGCCTCCCCCTCCCCCTCCCCCTCCTCCTCCTCCCCCTCCTCCTCCTCCCCCTCCTCCCCCTCCTCCTCCTCCTCCTCCTCCTCCTCCTCCTCCTCCTCCTCATCCTCCTCCTCATCCATGACGGCGACGACGACGCCGCCTGCGAGGACGACCGCGTCGGCGGCGGCGGCCCCCACAGCCGGAGGGCTCCGAGCCGCGGCGCTCCGCGCGACGCCCGCCCTCGGTCTCGCTGCGGTACTCCCGGCGCTCCCGGTGCTTCTCCCGGCGGGCGTCCTCGGGGGGGCGGCGCCGCCGCCGCGAGGACCACCACGACGACGACGACGACGACGACGGCCACGAGGACGGCCACGAGGGCGACCGCGAGGGCCACCACGCTCGGCGGTTCGAGGATGGGTCCCTGAGGGATGGGGGCCCTGGGCTCCCGAAATTGGACTTGCCTCGATGGATGCCCCTCGTTTCAGGGCCCCATCCCTCAGGACCCTATCCTTCAACCGCCAGTACGACGACGTCGCCGCCGCCGCCGTCGTCGCCATCGTCGTCGTCGTGTAGCTATCGTCGTGGTGATGATCCTCGTCGTCGTCGTCGTCGTCGTCGCCGTCGCCGTCGCCGTCGATGGCTATGGTCGTGGCCGCCGTCGTCTGGCTCGCGGGCGAGCTCATCTCTTCGCGATGTTTCCCGCCTGGTGGCTTTCGATGCCTCTGGGTTGTTCTCGGAGGCCTTCGAGCCACGTGGTCTCTTCTGGCAAACGCCTGCTGGAGACACATGCGGCTGATCTATCATGGGGAGCATGCGAAGGCCACAAGGGCTGGATACATATGCGAGGGGCCGGCCACACGAGGGCTGAGCACTGGTATCCAGCTCTCGCCTGGGCGGGCCACGTCAGGAAGAGGTCACGGGGCCAGCTTCGGAGGGCCTCGGGAGGACCTCGTCCAGTCGCTCTAGTCCGTTCTCCTCTTCTGCTTCCTCCTACTTTTCCTCTCCGTCCTCCTGCTCGCTTTCCTCACCACACGATCCTTTTCCTCCTCATCCTCCTTTCCCCCCACTCTCTGTCTCCTCCTCCTCCTCCTCTTTTTCCTCCTCCTCCTTCTACTTCTATTTTTTCTCGCCGCGGACAATTTCCTCGTGAATGCGCTCAGGGTGTCGAGATTTTTCAGGCGGAACGCCGGCTTAGGTCCAGTCGATGGGTTTTCTCGAAGACCCATGACCACCGCAATGTACAAGCGTGTCAATTGGATCACCCAGGGGGGTGCCGACTGGGGGCGTTTCATGGGCCCGTTCGGGCCCAGATTGTGGGGACCTCTGAATCGAAACGCCTGTTTTGGTTCAGTGGATGAATCTCTTCTCGGAGCTTCGTGACCACCGCGATGTAGCAAGCATTGCATTGCATTTGGGCCTCCCAGTGGGAACCCGCCACTGGGTATGACATGGGCCTGTTCGCGCCTTCCATGCGTCCGAAGGCAAGATCCCCTCACGAATGGTCAGACGTACTCAAAATGCAGTCAATTCACATTCAAGCCCACTCATGCCCAGAATCGCTTCTAATCGGCCATCATGCCTAGGCCCACTCGCACCCAGACCCATTCACATCCAGGCGCTCATACAAAGCTTCTTTCATACTTAGCCGTTCGTAATTAGTCAAACTCGCTCACACTCATACTCACTGATGCACAGACGCTCAGGAAGAACGCGCTAGAACATTGATGCATATATGGGGGGAGTCCCAGAGTCGAATCTACTTTTTGTGGTATTGGAGCCCGAATGCGGCTTCCAGACCCCGAAGGTGGAGAACGCCCCCGCCTTGATCTTATCAAGACCTTGGGGATCTGGGCAAACGCTTTTTGTTGTATCGACCGTTGGAAGTACCCTTGCCGTCGCGGCGGCTCTGCAGCGTCGACCCCCGACGCCACGACTTTTCTATGACGTCGACCCCCAGAGGCAGGCCTGGACCCATTCCCTGGGACTGGTGTTTTTCATCCCGCGTCGCTTCCTGACTGTCCCGAGGCCCAGTGGGGGCCCCCAGAGGCCGAAAATGGAGAAGAACCTCCCGTCGCGATGTCTCCGGGGCTCCTCGAGGGGGTCCCGGAGCGTCGACGCCTGGACCTCCCTCTGGTGCGGCGCCCGGGGCACACCTTCTTCCCGCTGGGAGCCCCGCCGCGGCGACGAGGAGCCCTCAGGACACCCCACAAAAACAAGGGAGGCGCACGCGGCCCCTGGAGCGCGACGGCCCCCCCCCTCCTCCTCCTCCCTCCTCCTCCTCCTCCGAGCCTCCTCCTCCTCCTCCTCCCTCCTCCTCCTCCGAGCCTCCCTCCTCCTCCTCCTCCTCTCCTCCTCCCTCCTCCTCCTCCTCTTCCTCCTCCTCCTCCTCCTCCGAGCCTCCTCCTCCTCCTCCGAGCCTCCTCCTCCTCCTCCTCCTCCCTCCTCCTCCTCCGAGCCTCCTCCGAGTCTCCTCCTCCTCCTCCTCCTCCTCCCACGGGAGCGACGGCTCGAAGCGTCAGTGGGCGGCGGAGGTCCGCCGCCCGCCCCCCCCCCGCGCCCGCGGCAAACAGAGGCAGCGAGGGATGGTGGGACAAAGAGTGCCTGGCCCCTCCAGCTCCAACAGTGCATCCGTGCCGCTGGGCGAGGGACAGCAAAGAGCAAAGGCGCGCATCAGCAGAACGTTATCGAGCAATCGAAAGGACGGGAGCGGCTAGGAGACAGGCATGGAAAAGATCAACTCCCCTGTGATTCGAGACACGTGCGACCCCCCCCCTCGCCTCGGGCGTACAGTCAACCCGCATTATAAGGATGCGCGGTAAGGATGCAAGGGCCTTGGAGGCCCATGTGAGCGTTTTACGAGCCAGGTTGGCCAGCGACAGTCGCCAAGGATCAAGGATGGGCCGAAGGGGCAGGGAAGCAAGGGTATCCTTGGGAAAATTGCCCATCCTTACTATGCGGGTTGACGGTGCAACAACCTGGCTCAGCGCAAACCCTGCTCAGCCAATCTAGGAACACTGCGCTGCCATTTTACCAAACCCGGCGCCCCGCCTCGGGCGTAGGCCAACCTGGCTGAGCGCAAACCCAGCCCAGCCAATCTGCTGGTGAAACCTGCGCTGCAACATTTCTGGGGGGGCCTCCAAACCCAGCTCCGCCCATGGATAAGTCCACCTCCGGCGCCGCGATCGGCCCCCCCACCCGGCTCGGCCCACATCCGGCCCTGCAGCATCCTGCGCGACGCTCTGGCGGAGCCCCGCCGGCGCGGAGCCCCGCTGCGGCGGCCTCGTGCCGTGCCGATCCCGGCGCTGGTTCCTGGCACCGCGGGGATCGTTCAACTGAAGGGGCCCCAGGACACACAAAGAAATACACACATATAAAAAAAGATTCCCCACATTTTCCCATACCTTCTGGGTTTCTGCCTTCCCCCCCACTTTCCATGCTTTCCTTTATTTTCTGGGGAATCGAGGATTAATTGTGTCTGTGTGTTTCTTCTCCTCCTGATCAACCTGGGACGATCGGCCGCTTCCGACACGTCAGACAGTCCCACGTCCACCGAGTCTGGGCCACCGGGCGGCGTTTAGCGTGTACGGCCGACGCGGCGCGAGTCCCTGCCGCACCTGCCCCAAAGGGCGGCCAGGAGGGGGGCGTCCAAGAGGGGGGGGGTGCAAACCATGGCTGGCGGCACGTGCGCGGCCCAAGGGGGGGCCAGGGACGGAATGCAACAAGAAGAGGCGCCACGAAGTCTGGGGAAACATCATGGCCCACGCCATGAGATCCCCCCTCCCCTAGTCATCAATTTGCCGCCCCCGGCTGCTGGCGGACCGTCGACCGGCGGGAGCAGCCCGGTCCTCGCGGTCGTCCCTGCGGTCCTGCTTGCGGGCCTCCCCCCGCCTGTCCCTGTCCACCAGGGCGACGCCCCCGGCGCTGGCGCTGGCCGACTTGGTGCTGCGGCGGTGCTCCTCGCCCCGGCGGCTCCGGTCGTCGCTGCGGTGGTGGTCGCCTCGGACGGCCCGGCGGGGTGCGAGGAGGGGTCGAGGTCAGGCAGAGGGGGGGCGTGAGGGGGGAATGACACCCCAGACCCCCTCGCGTGGTGAAGCAATCACAGCGCGAAGTTTTTCGCTATTTTCGGCCCCGGGGGGCCCCTGCCGGGCCTCGGGACCGTCAGAAAGCGGCTCAGGATGAATCACCGGTCCCGGGGAAGGGGTCCAGACCTCTAGGGGTCGACGTTGCGAGAAATCACGACGTCGGGGGTCTGGGACAGGGGAGGGGCGAGCATCGACCCTGAATCAGCGATGTATCGCCGAGAGAGGTCGGCGATAGACCCGCGAGTAGCCAATCCGCACGACCCTTGGCGAGGTGGGCTAGCGGGCCCCTGTCGGCGATCAGTGGGCGCTTGGGGGTCGATGCGTCCCCCTCCCGAGCCTATCCCCCCCCCTAACCTTGCCCCTGAAAGACGAAGCCAGGACCAGGTCAAAATCGGACTGGGACAGACAGGGGATCTCTGAGGTCTAGCGCTTCTGAAGGATCTATCGGGCGCCGAGGACAAATCTCTACAAGCGTTCGGAGCACCCTGGACAAATCTATGGGCCCGCCCGATCGAGGGTGGAGCATCAGCAATTTGAAAATCGAGGGTGGCGTTAAACGCTCGCTCTGGGGACCTTCCTGGAGCCGCTCGCTTCACTCATGCGTCGACGCTGCACCGAACGTCTGTCGACTTGAGTCGAACTTGAGTCGAACTGGGTTTGAGCTCGAATCGAACAGGTCCGTTTGGTAAGCCCCGGGAGGGTCTGCAATGGGCGACCAATTGGCGATCGGGCGATCCATGCTCCAGGGCTGCTATCGGCGATCAACGGGCGATTGGGCGACCAATTGGCGATCAATGAGCGATTGGGCGATCAATGGTCCACGGCCCCTCTCGGCGATCAATGGGTGATTGGGGGCCGATGCCTCCCACCCACCTGAGCCGAATCCCCTCCCAGCCTTGCCCCCTGAGAGGCCGGGGCGCGCGCGGAGACCCGGAGCCGCGGAGCCCAGGAGGAGGAGGCGGCGGAGGAGGAGGCGGCGGAGGAGGAGGAGGAGGCGGCGGAGGAGGAGGAGGAGGAGGCGGAGGAGGAGGAGGAGGAGGACGAGGACTAGGAGGAGGAGGACGAGGAGGAGGAGGACGAGGAGGAGGAGGAGGAGGACGAGGAGGAGGAGGAGGAGGAGGAGGACGAGGAGGAGAAGGACGAGGAGGAGGAGGAGGAGGCGGAGGAGGAGGAGGAGGAGGACGACGAGGAGGAGGACGAGGAGGAGCGCCCTGGCCCGTCTGTGGCGGCCGCCACGGCGCTCCCGCCGCGAGTCCTTCTCGCCCCCGCTGGCCGTGCGGCGCCGCTCCCTGCTGCGGTCCTTGTGGCGGGCCTCCGCGGGCCGCCTGCCCTCCGCGCCGCCGCCGCCGTGGGCATCCGGCGCCGCGGCGGCCCCTCTGGTGTCTATCCTGGGGAGGCTCAGGGAGGCAGGCGATGCTGCTGCTGCTGAGGCTGCTGCTGAGGGTGGTGGTGGTGGTGGTGATGCTGCTGGTGACGATGATGATGCTGGCGGTGATGATGACGGTGGTCTATGATGATGCTGATGCTGCTGCTGGCGATGATGATGATGCTGATGATGATAATGAAGATGAAGATGAAGATGAAGATGATGATGATGATGATGATGATGATGATGATGATGATGATGATGATGATGATGATGATGATGATGATGATGATGATGATGATGATGATTATGATGTTGATGATGGTGGTGGTGGTGATTATGAGGCGGATGAGGACGAGGATGAGGATTATGATGACGACGTGGTCATGAAGATGGTGGTGGTGGTGGTGGTGGTGATCAGGCGGATGAGGGTGAGAATGCGGATGCTGAGGAAGAGGAAAAGAGTTATGATAATGACGACGAAGATAATGATGCTGATGCTGATGCTGCTGATGCTGATGAAGACGATGGTGGTGGTGGTAGTTCTGGTAGTGGAGATGGTTGTGATTATGAGATGGATGAGGGCATGGATGATGACGATGATGATGACGATGATGATGACGATGATGCTGCTGCTGATGATGGTCATTCTGATGATTCAAACAATGATGATACTTATCATGAAGATGGTGGTGGTGGTGATGAGGCGGATGAGGATGTGGATCCAGATGCTGAGGATGAGGAAGCTGACGATGATGCTGATGATGCTGATGATGCTGATGAGGATGACGATGATGCTACTGATGATGATGGTGATGATGATGACGATGCTGATGCTGATGCTGATGCTGATGCTGATGATGATGATGATGATGATGATGATGATGGTAACGATGATGATGACGATGATGATGCTGCTGCTGCTGATGATGCTGCTTATGAGGATGTTGATGCTGCTGATGCAGATGATGGTGATATGTTGTTAGTGTCTATGATGTTGTTGATGATGGTGATGCTGATGATGAGGATGATGTCGTTGATGATGTTGATGATGCAATTGCTGCTGCTGATGATGATGACGATCATCACGATGAGGCGGAGGAAAACATGCGGCCCTCTGGTGTCATCCTAGGCGGGGGGGAAGGGGGCGGGAGGCTCGTGTTGGAGGCTTGGGAAGTGGCACCGCCACCGCCGCAAGGGGTTGCCTCCACCAGGGGAAGGCGACCCTGGACTCAGGTGCTGGTGGTCCTCTTTCCGCCGCCTGGGAAGCCCGAGTGCTGACGCCATCGCCGAGATCAGGATCGCAGTCCCTCGATGGAGCGCAGCCGCCGATATTCTACGCTGTCGCCGACCTCTAGGCATCCGGTCGTGTCCGGAGCCGGGAGTCCCCCGGATGGCCGGGCGGCCACGGGGCCCGCTCCGTCGCCCAAACCAACTGGCATCTCTTGCGCCTCTTCCCCGGCAGGGCCGTCCTCGCTTTGCTTCCGCCGGCTCCCGCCACCTTCCGCCGAGGAAGAGCGAAGCGACGAGCCGAGAAGACCTTCGGGGAGGGTGAGGGGTCTCGTCGGGGAGGCGTCCAGAGGGAAAACACGGACGGACACGATAAGTGGTCGATGTGCATGAAACGATGGGAAAACAGGGGAGATGAAGGTGTTGACGAAGATCTCGGAAACAAGCGTGCTACCATAAGGAGTGCTTAGTGGGGAGCGAAGGGGCTTTGCTGGCCACGGCGGGCCCTTGCCATAAGCAGGTTCTACGGCGTGGGTACATCTAAGGAACGGCCCAGACACGCGGGCCCCTCCCGAGCCCCAGGCGGTCATCATTTCAGCATCGTGGCTGTATGGAACAGTCGAGAGGAGAGGTCCTCGTCGGGAGAGTTCTACGCCGGCCAGGGAATCAAAAGGTGGCTCGTGGTGGGCGGGCGGTGTGGAGACCCCGGGCAGTCTCTCCGAGGACATTTCGAGCGCCTGGGGCCGTTTCGGGTCTGAAAACCGCTTTAAACTCCTTGGGATTTCAGAAATCATCGGGCGCTCTGCCACAAGCCAACCCTAGGACCCCTGACAGACGTAGTGCGGGGCGAGCCATCGCCCGGGTTCAGCTGGAAACCGCTGCGGGCGCAGACGCTCGCCAGGCTCAATGAGCATGTGCGGAACATGCAGGACAAAAAGGAGCAGGAGGAGGAGGAACGGGGAACCAGGAATGATGATGATGATGATGAGGGAAGGAGGAAGCCAGGAGGGATGTTTCGGATGAGTGGTCAGAGGAAAAATAATGACGCGACTATAGAGGAATAGCGAGCAGGGAGGATGAGACAGCATGCGGCTCCTGATGATGATGATGATGATGATGATGATGATGATGATGATGATGATGCTGACGATGATGCTGATGATGATGAGAGTGATGATGATGGTGGTGGTGGTGATGATGATGATGCTGTTTTTTTTCCCGCCGGCGGCAAGCCTCGGCGCGATCTGCAGCGGCGAAGGAGACGATGCCCCTTGATTGATGCATTTCCCCCGGCTGCCGGGCAGTGGAATCCACGCCGCTCGCACGACCCCGCCGCCCTGGGCGGCTACGTCGCACTGGTGGCAAAACAAAATATTGTCAAAGTGTCAACGCGGTGCGGAGGCAAGTGCACTCGGGCAGGCTGCGCAAACAGCCCAATCGCGTACATTCGCACGCATGCGCGCATCTGCAAACTCAACGCACGAATTGATGGCGTCAATCTTCAGACGTTAGGAGCGAGGGTGGAACAACCAGCAACCGAAAGCGGAGGGCGACGAGGGAACGAGGGAGCAGGGGAGGAAAACGAGGCCGGGGGGGAAGCAACGACGAACCCAAAGCGCAGACACGACAACGCTGGAGGACAGGAAACGAGGGGAGAGGCGACAGAACGACGGGACAAGACGACAATAGGCAAAACGACAAGAGAAAAGCAGGTCCGAGGCCTCGCCGCGAAATAGAAGCCGACGAACACCACATATTCCCCAAAGCCAATCAGGGTCGCTGATGTAGCTGTCCACCACGAAACTCCCAAGAGGAAATCTGGGACGCCGATGCTGTAGAACACCACATACTGCCCAAGAGACAAAATTGGTCGCCGAAGGCGTAGCGCACCACAAACTGCCCAAGATACAGTCTGGGATGCCGAAGCCGTAGCGCACCACTTACCCAAGAGCCCAAGAGACAATCTGGGACGCCGATGCCGGAGTCCACCACGCACTGCCCAAGAGACAATCTAGGCCGCCGAATCCGTAGCGCACCAAGTAGTGCCCAGGAGGCGATGCCCTAGAGACAATCTGGGATGCCGAAACCGCAGTGCGCCACCTCACCTCAATACATAATCTATTGAAACCCAAACAACGCGCCACGTTCAGGACCGGTACGTGAGCACAGCGAGCCCAGCTCCAGTCAAACCAACGTTAAGGAGGGTCTGGAGGTGAAACGTATCCTGCTCGAGATGGCTGAAATTGTCGGCCAGCCGCTCGAGATCATCAACTCTCGAGCTGCTCTTGACGAGACAGCCAGCTAGGAGCCCATAAACGTATGCCTTCACGTGCCGCCGCTCAGAGACCGATGCGCATCGCAGAGTCAACTCCCCAATGAAGCTCGCCACGAAGTGTCTGACCACGCTGCGATCCACAGCCCTCGCACCAACGGCCACCTCGAGCGTCGGGAAGACAGGCGCGCGCGGAAGCGAAGCCGATGCGCCCCCGCGCCGCCAGAGTGAACATCATGAGCGCGGCGTTGAAGAAGATCCTGAAGCGCGGGCAAAGGGGCCCATACGTGAGAAATGCCAACAACACAGGACAAGAAACCTGGACCGTGTTCCCGACCGCCAGCATCGAGAGAACGCTCATCAGCAGCAACGCTCAGAGCATGAACGGCGGGCCCATGTCGCCGTGGTACTTTGGGCTGTGGGCCGACACCGCCGCCAACAGGCAGAGATGCCCATGGATCGCACCCGTCAGGGCCACGCCAGGGGTCCTGCGATGCAGCGTCGCGACCACGACGTCCAGGAAGATGCGAGCTATCATGCCCTCCATCATCTTCACCATGATCACCAGGACCTCCGCGGGCGCCATCGATGCGAAGACGGTCGCGACCCGCGCGGTTGACCCCAACATGCACGACGGAACACCCGTCGGAGTGTCGGTGCCCACGATCACTGGCGACCGATATTTCCACAAGCTGCCGAAGGAGGTCTATGGGGAGGACCCAACGCAGCAAGAAGAGCGGCAGGCGGAGGAACATCCCCCGCAGCAGGCGCCACCACGACCTTCACCTTGGCCTTCGAGGTGTCCGCAGCAGGACCGAAGGCGATGTGCACCGCCCTTCCGGACCCGAACTGCCTCCAAATCCAATCAACGCGCGCCAAGCACCTTGCAATGCGAACGTCCAGCAAGTGCAGGATAGAAACCACCGCGCCAGCAAATGCCAGAGCCAAAGCGGCTGATGATGATGGTGATGATGATGATGATGCTGATGATGATGATGATGATGATGATGATGATGGTGATGTCAACGGAATCGGGGCTCAGGAAGAAAAACACAGGATTCAGTGCGAAGCCCCTCTTCCCGCGGAGAACGCATCTGGTGCTGCCGTGTTCTACGCGCGCGTGCAGGCGCCGAATGGACGGGAACGCCGCACAGCGCGCGATCGACGGGGCGCGCCGTCGCTGATCAACAATCGGAATCCTTCACTCACCACTCACGGAGAACCTCGTTCCCGATCAGGGCAACACGCGGCGGAGTGGCAAAGCCCCTATGAATGTGAGCATCAGAATCGTCTACAACGATGGTGCAACAAACCATCCCTCCAAATTTCCTCTTCGCGGGCCCCTACAACTATTCCTTTTTCGCTGAAGGAAATGCCCCGCTGGAAATCAACCGTCTGAAAATCCTGAACCGTGCCAGAACACCGTTCCTGGTGCTCCAGCGCTGAACATCAATCTTACTGACCATCCTGAACTACGCCAAACCACGATACCTCGCACTGTCGCACTACACCATCGAGAACCAACGTATCTATTGCGCCTTGATAGTCCTACACTGTGCCAAAATAGCATTTCGGAAACCTCAACCAAAATCATCCTTGAGTGCGCTGCGAATTCTTGAGGCGGCCGTGCGCGGCACTGAAACGATATCCACATTTTGTAAAGGTCCCGCCCACCTTCCGTAAACCTCTTGCGAACTTTTGCGACGAACACGCGCGGCGCTGAAGCGAAAATCGCATTTTGAAAAGGTTCCGCACCCCATCCGTGGAAGCTCTTGCAAACTTTTTTCTTGCGAACTTTTAAGACGATTGCGCGCGACGCTAAGGCGAGAACCGCATTTTGAAAACATACGGCCCTCCATCCGCGAAGCTCTTCAATATTTCAACTCAAAGATCATAGTTGGTGAAGAAGTCTCAGGCGGAACGCCCGGCCCACCCTACCGACACGTCTCGAGGTGCGAGGACATAAATAATGGGAAGGAGGGGGGGGGGGGCGAGACAGGAGGCAGGAGAAGGAGAGCGGAGGGATGAGGCGGAAGACAAGGGGAAACCCATGGTTTGGCGACGTTGATGGCCGACTACTTAGACTAAATCCCAATCCAGCGGCGCCCCGACCGCGGCGCCAAAGCGCGAGAAAAGGTCCTCTGAGGGCTGTGTGTGGAAAAGGGGAGGCACCCTGCCCGAAGGCTGGCGCTCAGCGCACACAGGCAGAAGAGGCGGTGCAGAGTCGGGTGGCCGGATTCTGCTCCAATTCCTCTTTGTTGTCGCCGTCGTCGTCGTCGTCGTCCTCCTCCTCCTCCCGCTTCCATCTTTCCTCCCTCCTCTGCCGTCTCCTCCTCCTCCTCCTCCTCCTCCTCTACCTGCGCATCGTCCTCAGCACCCCTCCTCGCTCCTCTCCCTCTCCTTCACTCCCCACTCCTCCTCTTCCTCCTGCTCCCTCCTCCTCCTCCTCCTCCTCCTCCTCTGCCTCCTCCCTCCTGCTCCCTCCTTCCTCTCCCCACCTTCCTTATTACCCCCCTCGGCTCATCCCTCATCCTTCATCCGCCTCTCTTCCTCCTCCTCCCCCTCGTCCGCCTCCTCCTCTCCCTTCTCCCTTCTCCCTTCTCCCTCCTCCCTCCTCCTCCTCCTCTCCTCCTACTCCTCCTCCTCCTCTTTCTCCACCTCCTCCTCCTCCTCCTCTTCCTCCTCCCCTCCTCCTCCTCCTCTCCTCCTCCTCCTCCTCCCCCTCTCATCCTGCCTCCTTTTCTCTCCACCACCCTCCTCCTGCCTCTTCTCCTCCCTCGCTCCGCTCTCTCCTCCTCCTGGTTCCTCCTCCTGGTTCCTCCTCCTCCTCCTCTTCGTCCTCCCTCCTTCTCCTTCCTCCCTCGTTGCTCTTCATTCCTTCTTCCTCCCTCCGACTTCTTCTAACCCCCCTCGCTTCCCCTCTGCTCATTCCTCCCCCTGCTCCTGCTCCTGCTCCTTCTCCTCCTCCTCTTCCTCCTCCCAATCTCCCCCTTCCTTCGGATTTCTCCCCCCTCCTTCTGCTCCTCCTCTCCCCTCCTTCCCTCCCTTCCCTTTCATTGTAAGCAACTCCTCCTCCCTGCCGCACCGCCAGATGTGTCCTCAATGTTGGCAAGGCGCTTCGCTTTAGACGTCCTCACCGCTTTTTCTCCTGAAGCCTGCAATTTCCATCAACTACACGGATAGACGGCGGCATCTTTTTAAACTGGGCGTCTCGCCTTGGCGCTGCGCGCACTCGTCTTAAATCATCCAACCATTACTCGGATGGAGGGCGGCACTTTTTCAAACTGGGAGTCTCGCCTTGGTTTCTTTTCAAACGTGTGTTCCCGCTTAGGACATCCTCACCTGGTGGTTTAAACCTGACATTCCCAATGGTGCAACAACTTAGTTTCACGGGTGGAGGGCAGCTCCTGTTCAAAATCGGGCTCCGCTTGAGATTTCGTTTCAACGATATGACCAGTGCACGGTTTCCCCCGGGGCCGTAGGCGACCCGAGGAGGAGGATGAGGAGGAGGAGTATGAGGAGGAGGAGGATGAGGAGGAGGAGGAGGAGGGGGTGTTAGGAGGAGGAGGAGGAGGGGAGGAAGAGGAGGAGGAGAGGAGGAGGTTAGGAGGAGGAAGAGGAGGAGGAGGAGGAGGAGGAGGAGGAGGAGGAGGAGGAGGAGGAGCAGGGCGGAACGCCTAAGCCCTTCGGAGAAACCCTCCCGGTGGAGGGCAGCCCCTGTTCAAAATCGGGCTCCGCTTGCGATCTCGTTTCAGCGCTATGGCCAGAGTGTTGGACTTTTGTGCAACGCTCGCACGGATGGAAGACCAGAGCATCTTCAAGACCAGGGCACTCGCTGGATACCTCGCTGGACTTTTAAATGGGGCCCAGGGGCACACAAATACACATATGCACCCATCCCGGGATCCCCAATACTTTCCTAATTTCCTGGGCTTTATTTTCCCCCCCCACTCTCCATATTTTCCAACATTTTCTTGGGAGTCTTTCCCTCCTGAACTTTGCGATCACAAGTTCGCTGGCCCAACGGGCCAACGGCGTGCCAAAATCTTCGGCAAGAGGTGAACCGCACACGTTTAGTTTGCCCGCGCGGGTCGCCCCCCCCCGCCCGCCCACGGGGGTCCCCAGACGAAGGGTATCCCGCGAAGGTCCTGGCGAAGTCCCCGAAACCATAGATCAGAAATGGTTACCCACCTGGGCGCGGCCAGGACGGCCCCACAGAGGGAGCGCCCCAAGGGGCGTCAAGCAGAGCCCAAGAGGGTCCGAGACGGCCCAAGAGCGCCCAGAGACGCTCAAGATTGCCTCTTGACGGCCCGAAGGGTCTTCCAAACGCCTGAAGAACGCCCACAGAGGGCACCGAAAAGGCAACATTCATTGATTATCTGGCCGTTTTCGACAGATTTCAGCGTTCTTGCCTTTGTGGGCTTCCTGCGCTCCTAGGCGGCCCAAAAGGCCCCCAATATCGCCTTATATGAGCCACGAGGCCCCCACGAGGGCCCGATACAGCCCCACGACAACCGAACACAGCTCCAAAGGCCCTCATGACGGCCCGAGAGAGCCCCAAGAGAAGCCCAAGAGGGGGAACACGGACCAGACACTTCGAGCCCTCTGCCCCAAGACGACCCCCAAGACCGCCAACACCCCCAAAATACCCCCAAGAGGCGCCAAAAGGCCTCCGCGAGGCCCCCAGGAGGCCCCAAGAGGGTTCCACCAATGGTCCTTACAGGCTCCCAAGAAGCCCGCAAGACAGGCCCGAGAGCTCTCGAAGAGGCCCTCCGACACGCATCCCAAGACACCCTGATATGCACCCAAGAGGCCTCTGACTCACAGCCTATGCGCGGTGGCGGGATGGGTCTGCACGTTTCTCCTGCTCATGATCCTCCTCAGGCTACGTGAGCGGACGGCACCACGAGGCCCCCAGGACGCCTCCCTCCCCTCCTCGTCCTGCTTTTCATCCCTTTCCTCATCCTCTCCCCCTCCTCCCCCAAGTGATCTCCGAAAGGCTTCCCCAACGGCTGCTCCTCGTTAGCGCGAATCTCACGTAAGATGTCGGGCAAAACTATCACCGCCCAGCGATTTTAGAATCGCCACGGATGCCCCACTTCAGGCAACGACAGCGATGACACTATACGAGCCAGCGGACTGAGCGAAGCGATGAAATCTCTGCCTCTCCAGTGGCCAGAAGCATGGAAGGTGTTTCTCCTGCAAAGCGGGGCCTCGCCTGAGTGGCAGTCTCACATGGCTCTCGTCCGTCAAGGTGGGCGCTTCCCGCAGGGGAGATGAACCATGCAGAGGACCGGTGGGGAGGGGCTTGAGGCGGGAGGGTGTGTTGCAGCATCACTAGCGCGT